CATACCTGTCACTAACGAGCGCGCGCTGACGCAGGTGTGTGGCACTGTCACCTGCATACCTGTCACTAACGAGCGCGCTGACGCAGGTGTGTGACACTGTCACCTGCATACCTGTCACTAACGAGCGCGCTGACGCAGGTGTGTGGCACTGTCACCTGCATACCTGTCACTAACGAGCGCGCTGACGCAGGTGTGTGGCAGCACCGTGACGAGGCGGACAACTACCTGCAGCGTTACGACGTGGAGCTGATCAAGGAGGAGAAGCGGCCGCAGGTGGAGGCGGAGCTGAGGGAGGAGGTTGACGCGCTGATGAGGGAGGAGCTCGAGAACCTACGTCTGGTAGGCTCACAGGCGGAGGGTGGGAGGCTTGTAGGAGGGTGGGAGGCTTGCAGGAGGAAAGAGTGGGAGGCTTACAGTGTTAGTAAGGGAAGGAGCTGAGAGAGGAGGTCGACGCGCTGATGAGGGAGGAGCTCGAGAACCTACGTCTGGTAGGAGGCTTGTAGGAGGAGGAGGGTGGGAGGCTTGCAGGAGGAAAGAGTGGGAGGCTTACGGTGTTAGTAAGGGAAGGAGCTGAGAAAGGAGGTCGAAACGCTTATGAGAGAGGCGCTCGAGAACCTACGTCTGGTAGGCTCACAGGCGGAGGGTGGGAGGCTTGAAGGAGGAGGGTGGGAGGCTTGTAGGAGGAGAGTGGGAGGCTTGCAGGAGGAGGGTGGGAGGCTTGTAGGAGGAGGGTGGGAGGCTCACAGGAGGAGGGTGGGAGGCTCACAGGAGGAGGGTGGGAGGCTTGTAGGAGGAGGGTGGGAGGCTTGTAGGAGGAGGGTGGGAGGCTCGTAGGAGGAGGGTGGGAGGCTTGTAGGAGAAGGGTGGGAGGCTTACAGGAGGAGGGGTGGAGGCTCACAGGAGGAGGGTGGGAGGCTCACAGGAGGAGGGTGGGAGGCTCACAGTGTTAATAAGGGAAGGAGCTGAGAGAGGAGGTTGAAACGCTTATGAGGGAGGAGCTCGAGAACCTACGAATTGTAGGCTCAATGGAGGAAGTGGTAGGAGGCCCACGGTCCTTGACCTTGAAAGGAAAATAGGGTTGTGAGGCCCGCAATGCTGGCCTGAGAGGGGAGTATTGTAGGCACACAGTGCTAGCCTGTGTTAGAGGTTACTGTGGGTTAAATATTGTGTTCTGTCTTCCACGTGCTCTGTACACACGTGTGCCAACTGTGCTTTTACCCATGCCATGTTACTTGTCAGGCCGTGGAGCAAGACAAGGGTAAAAAGGGAAAGAAGGGGAAGTCGGGCAAGAAGAAGAAGAAGAAGGGGTCAAAGAGCGGGAAGAAGGGGAAGAAGAAGGAGAAGGATCACACAGCTGACAGGTACAGAGCTGGTGCACCTCCTGGCAGATAATACAAAGAACTAATAATACCTAGGTATTATTAGCTCTTGATAAAACATGAATATAATAATAAAAATAAACAATAATAAAAATGATGATAATAATAATATCAGTAATGATAATTATGAATTATATGAGTATCAGTAACAGTAATAATAATGATGATTCTCCTGCGTACTTACAGGAAGAGAAACAGGGCAAAGCCGGAGATGTAGAAGTTGCGCTGAGCGCGGAACAGCTTCATGTGCATGTTGGTCTCGGCTAGCGGCTGGTCGTGCAACTCGTGCTCCGCGCCGCCATACTTACGCATCTCGCGTATGGCGTCTGCAAGACAAGAGAACATGTCGACGTGACGCGGGCAAGAGCGGACTTCCGCGAGCTACCGATCTCCGGTCTCGCTCGATAGTATTTATAATAATCATCATTATCACTGATAGTATTTTTTTATTATGATTGATCAAGCTGAACTATTGAACAGGTTTCTAAATTTATCACGCAATCAAGGTCACGTACAGAATCATAGGTAGAAATAAACTTCGTTCAATTGGCATTCAATTAAGCTTCGTGAGTGGCCCACAACAATAATAAAAAGTTATATTGTTTTCGCTAAAAAAACAAATACATAAATTCTATAAATTCTCAAAAACAGTCAAAAACAGTCAAAAAAGTGTGTCATTCTCAGGTATATCATTTGACTGTGATTATGAGCAAACAGTGCAAAGTAACGCAGGATCAACTAGAGTAAAATATGATAATACAACATTGTAGTCTACATGCACAGTACTAGAATGGCATTTTATCAAGAGCGTATAAAGAAGGAGAGCGTACAACGGTGAAATGCTGAAACCGTTGAAATGTTGCAGTATTAGTCAAATTAATAAATTTTCCCCATTTTATTTTGACGATTCTTTGCAGTATTATTGATCAGCTGTCCTACCTTGTTAATATAAAACAAACCGCATGTCCCTACGATGCCACTACGCTGAGATAATGAGCGGTGAAAATCTAGTATTTTCGCTGAAAACCGACTCGAGATCACTGTTTACTGTGACTGTCTCTCGCTAAAACGGGCCAAGTTTATTAATTCGACTAATACTGCAACATGGTTTCAGCATTTCACCGTTGTACGCTCTCCTTCTTTATACACTCTTGATTTTATGCAATAAAATTCCGTTCTACTGTTCTAGACAGGTGAGACATGCATGCGCTCGAGCCAGAAACAAAGTGCCATCCACTACACTGATCCCTACTAATAAAGAGACAGGCAAGTCAAGAATTCACACACAACACACAGTGATGCCAGCGCAAATCCAGGCTCAACCGGAAGCCACTTTGTTGCCAGGTTACGAACTCCGTAAGTTTGTTAAAAATTTACGATAAAGATTTGTAAATTGTTAGAAATTTTCCAACCCAGCCCAGGTTAAGTGTAAGAGGCACAACTAAAACTGAACTGAATGCCTAACCATAACCCTACTTCATAAACCTATCCCTTACCCTTACCCTAACCCCATACCCAGACCTGCCAACCTGTGATTCATAAAAATAGTAAGGCTTTTCTTTTCTTGCAGCAGGCGGCCATTTTGTTTGTA